AAGGAATTCCGAGTTTCTAAATCAAAAGGAAATAATTATAGTCCAGAAAGCTGGTTTAAATTCTATGATGGTTTAGTGCTTTGCCTTTTGATGTATTTTGTATGATTGTGTAAAATGCTTCACTCACCTTAGATTCACGCTCATTTTCAAACTTTGGTCTGTCATATGTGGAATCTTACTTGAACTATATACAAGGCAAAAATTATCATTTGTATAGTTCCCTACACCATTTCTAAAGGTAACTTCATCATTTGCTTCTGTGCTTCTGGGGCAAAAAGGGTACAAAGGGTGAATACCGCTATACACTATATAGATAAATCCTTATCCAGCCCATAAAATCCATACTAAAATCTAAGCAGTGGGTAGCTTTCAGTGATGGATAACTTTACCCACTCATCGTACAACCAGCCTCTTTTGAATAGCAGTTTTACACACTCACTTGTTATCTTGTTTTGATGTAAACACATTGCTAGCTTTCAAGATGACACAGAGATCTGGAGGAGATCATAATCCACAAATATCTGTTGTTTTTGCTCAAATGCATTGAATTCGAGACTTGTATAAGATTCCACATTTGACAAAAAGGCCTCAATATACCTGGCTTTGCATGGTTTGTAATATGTTTATTCAAGGTAACTTGCCGACAACGTTCTAAACTGCGATAACGACATCTGATGTAAGCAATATTCCTGTGCACCTTAAAGTTGACGAATAAATGTTTTTAGATTTTCATTGTATTTCTGTTTATGTTAACAGAGTGTATTATGTACTTATTGACTGAGTGGGAGGGCCGTACGGGAAAATATTTGGCTCGAGGTAATGCCGTACGGACCGAGCGTACAAATGACCGAGAGCCAAATATTTTCCCGTACGGCCCGACCTAACTCAGTCAATAAGCATTTTATCATATGACAGCGTTTTTGAATGTAAAAAAAATAAATAAAAGCGCGCGGAACTTCAAGCCGGGAAAATACGGGTTTGTACGGACCAGTCGCGAAAAGGCGGTACGGACCACATCGCGTGAGCATTTTACAAAGGTTTCAGTGAGAGCGCGCGTAGGGCCGAAATACGGGTCATATGATAATCTCTTTTATTTGTCAAAGACTGATTTTCATCGCAATAAAAACTCAATAGAGCGGATTAAGGTACGGACGACCACACACGGACACGACATGGTCACGGAACCTCACCTGGTAGTTATGACCGCCCCTCTCCCCTCCTCAAAAAAAGGATTCAAGAACAGATCAGTGTTATTTTAAAATTCTATGTTATTTATTTTTTTGCTCGCACAGTATTACGAAATCCACTCTATAGTGTAGGAAACAATGTAACCGGCTGTAAAATGTAAGTCTGCTGAAGAAAAACTAGCAGATTCCTTGAGAAGAAAGCAGCCAATCGGTGTGAAGCAAACCGGTTCAACTTCTTAGCCTAACACTAGCGAGTACAAAAGCATTGTTTGCATCTGATGATCAACGGGAAGAAAAAATCTAATGAAATTACTACAATGTTAGCATCCTCGTTAACATGGATCACAAAGAGACTAGTCTTCTCGTGCTAGAAATGTTTTCTGAAATTGTAAGCCAAGCTGTTTTTAAACAGCTGGAAAAGACTACTAATAAAAGCGTGCTAAAAAGTATTTGTGTGGTATCTATTTCACGGGTTATTGAATTTGTTTTGAAGCTTTTGTTTTAGTGTTAGTATAAATGTATAAAAAAAATTGGATTTTTGACCTAATTAATGTGTCAATAGCACTAAGCTATGCCAATATAATCATCCTGAATTACAGAACTAGTATATAGTTCTAGGTTGAATTTCTGGCGTGTCCCATCTCTATATCGAGAATGCTAGCTGTGAATAAAATTTCAAAGCAGCCCTCATAACTCTCGGTAGTTCAATACTACCTGCAAGATAAGACACACTATAAGTTCTACCACTGTGACATCTTTATTACAAAGATACAAAAGATAGAAATGAATACATTTGTTGCAAAAATAAGCTAAACAAAATTGTGATTACATGTATAAAGTTGAAAGCCTGCATTTGACTATAAACGATATAGAATAGCACCCAGTGCAAAATCTCTTCTTTTTTTGTTTTGTTTCGTTTTTTGTTCTTTTTTTAAGTTGGATTTTGTGGTCTTTTATATTTTTTTTGTTCATTTCTTTTTTTAGACTTCTAGTAATTTTGCTGAAATTCAGTAAAAACTCTAGGCAGGCCCAACTGTACAACTAAGCTTCACCAACAACTGTGGACACAAACTGTACCATCCATTTGGACTAGTACAAAGGTCAGTGACTCGACTCGAAATGTTTAGAAGATTTATCTAGCACAACTCGGTTGAATAGGATAATTGAAATTTGACCAGGTTTTAATAATTCTCAGAGCTTGTTAGAGCATTTTTCCAAGGGAATAGCATCTTACTGACAAAGGGGCTAAAACTTCTTGGAACAATCGTCATACTACTATAAGTGATTTCCCGTTAACCGTTATAAAAAATGTTAACTATCGAGTTCTTACTTCTTGATAAAAAAATAATAGAAAATAATGAGTGTGAATCTGACTAACCAAATCATTCTAGACCTTAAACTGTCCAGCAGACATCCTCGGGAACCAGGGGTAATCTTCCGAGGATGACATAATTAATGGATGTTGATGAAACTTACTTGAACTGAAATTTGATAAGATAATAAAAACACCCTGCCATGATAGACTCAAAACCACTAGTCCAAATTGGCTTAGCCTGTGTACATCCGTTTCTCACCCCTCCGAAAAAATCTCCCCGATTTTCTGAGGGGTGAGAAACGGATGTACACAGGTTAAATTGGCTTTGCACCAATCCCTGCTGACATAACCAATCAGAACAAAGCATTCAATTCATGCAATCAGTTAAAACATGCAAGTACCTAATTGTGGTCATTTTTCAGTCAGTCATGGCATTGTATTAAAGTTTGATAAAGTATACTGAATGCATCTACACCTACAATCGTTGCCAAGAAACCTTGGGCCATAAAATTATTTGTCTCCAGCCTAACATTTTTCTCAATCTTTTCACAGTTTTCGCTAACCCCCTTTCATCAATCTTGGGTCTTGTTTTCGATGCTTGTGTACTATTGTAACATATTCGATGACAACATTGCATTTAGGGTTAGGAGGGATGAACTTGTCTGTGGATGGTGCTTTTAAAAAATGACAAAACTCGCTAGACTGGTCCAAGGATTTTGTCAACGATTGCAGTCCACTTAGAGCTGCAGTGAACACACACTACTTATACTGTTCGATTATGAATTGAAGTGCATTCGTATTTTATTAATATTAGTAATTACCGTTAGTATAATACCTTTGCTTCACTACAGACTGCTGACCGCAGCTACGCTTAGTATTTTACTTTTGCTTCACTACGGAAAGCAGACCGCGGCTACGCCCAGTACCATACCTTTGTTTCATTGTAGTATTATACCTTTGCTTTACTACAGAGTGCAGACCGCAGTTAGGCTTACTATTTCATTTTTGCTTCACTATGGACTGCAGACCGCGGTTAAGCATGGTATTAACACCCTTGCTTCAATATTGTGAATTCTACAAATTATTATTATTATAATTATTATCATTTGACACTAATGACGAACTCTTACTCTTTTGACGAATCATGCATTTCTTTTCTTCGCTTCAATTCTCTGAGGTAGAATTCCTTCTCGTCAGAAAGTCTCTTACGTTGATCTCTGAGTTCAGAGTTCTCTTTCAACAGCTGTTCTACTTTGTCTATCAAAGCATCTTCTTTCTCTTTTTTCTTTACTCTGTGCCTTTTAGATGCAGCTTTCATACTTTCACGCCTTTTTCGTTTCTTTTCTTCGAGGGATGGTAAGCTGGGAAATTCCATTGCTTGATCATTGACAACACCGGCATTATTCCAGGTGATGAGGTTCGATGCATGTCCATGAAGCGGAAATACCACTGTAGCAACAGCCACATCCATGGCAGCCATACCAACTTGGTTCGCCACACCAATCGATGGAAGGTCAAGTCGTAAGGACGATGTCAATGTCCCTGACAGCAAAGTTTGTTGCAAACCAGTATCTGACAGGTGAAGTTGTGTGGACTGTGACGATGCTCCTGGAAGCAAGGCTGCATCCAAATCAGTATCTGACAGTCCAAGTCTGGTGGACTGGGACGAAGCTCCTGGCAAAGCTCTATCCAAACCAGTATCTGACAGGTCAAGCTGATGACAGTGTTGGAATGGTTTTGGCAGTTCTATACCCAGATCAATTGCTGACTTGTTGTTTTTTTTAGACTGTTGGGATGTTATTGCCATGCTTGTTACCACACTTGGTTCTCTACCAATAGTAGTGGGTACGCATTCTCTTTTGCAAGGCATAGTAACCTGTGGAGGGATGAGTCCCAAATCACGAATAAGGTCCTCTAGAGGGATGTCTCCGCTTCCAGGTAATGCATCACCAAATGAGTTTGAATCTGCAATGACCTCGATGGCTTCTGCCTCAATGCCAGTGTTAAGATTTGACATGGTCGTGTTGTGGTTTTCTTCAGGTGAGTGTGGAAGACTAGCATAAATGTGTGACATTTCATCATTGCACAAATCATCCCAACTAACAGGGTTATGGCCTATTGCCCATGTGTCCTCTCGTTCTTCTTCAGGAATCACTTCTTCTCCCGGTAAAACTGGTGAAGTTGAGGCAAAAAATGGATTTATTGTTTGTTGTGAGTTAATAGACGTGTTGCTGATATCTGCAGTGCTATTAAAGTAAAGATTTTCCTCTGAAAGTATAGAGTCAATGGGCTCTGAAGTTCCATCATTAAAGTGGAAATCAGGAGAAACATTATCCTCGGAAATTCCATCAAATGGGTTGCCCAAATCAATTTCATCTGATGCAACGTCTGAATTAATAGAGTCAGTATAACGCTCTAAGACTTCATTCAGTGAGAAGTCTGAATTAATAGAGTCCAGGCTCTCTGGGATGAATTCATCCCCTGGGAATCCATTCTGATCTCTTTCTCCTACTTCTTCCTCGTTACACCATTGTTCATATTCCTGGTGATCTAGGTCATAAGGGATGTTGTTCTCACTGATCAGAATGAACTCACTATTATTTCGATGCGGTTCAGTGCCGTCTGGAGGAGACTCGCCAGGAGGTGTTTCGCTCATGGCTTTGCTCTACCTTGAAGGCACCAAAAGTATTCTTAAACAAAAAACATCAGCTTGTTTAGACTCCAATATCCTAAAATATCTATTGTATAAAATTCAATTTACGCTAAAAACACTAGAATTAACAGTTGCATTTAGACAGTGCCGTTTCATGGATACACCTATTTCAAAAAACGTTGTCTTCGCCAGGACACATAGACCACAGTCTTGAGCCTGCAAACAATCTCGTGATTGCCATATATAATTATAAATTCACTTTCAGTTATCAAAAATTCTCAGCCATGTAGCAAATATAGCTTTAACGCTCATTGACGGTTTGAAAACTTGGAACATTCTTCAAGGAAAATGTCTCATGGCGAGACTTGTTCGATGGTTTAATTCCCTACAATAGTATATTAGCAGTGTTTGCCGCCATTGAATTCAAACCACATAAGCAGCATTATTTTGAATACATTAATTACGCATGGAAACCCAGAGATTCTTTGCAGGTTCAAGACTGTGGACTGTGTCCTGGTGACGTTTTTTTGAAATAGGTGTATATGCCATGAACTCTCAGCAGTGCGCTCATTGGTACATTCCATAAAAAAATTGATATCGGCTAAGATATGGAGATGGAGATAGAAATGGTTAGGAGATGGTTAGGAGATAGATGGTTCATTTCACTTTACACAATTTACAACGTATCTTGGTCTATCTTGTTCTATCACTTACCTGGTAATTTTTTAATGATATATATATTTTTGAATATATGCTTTTTATCCAAAACTGCTGACTTAGCTTGCTTTGGGACAGGGTTTTGGGCCCGTTTAAACACAAGACACAAAAACGGTTCCGGTGTTTCACACTGTCTACAGTGCAGCAGAGATATATCATTGTTATCCAGAGGACATTCCTGAGGGTATTTCCCGGCATTTCTGGGCATACTCGAAGGAACTTCTCCCAAATTCTGCAAGTTGATAGATAATAATGGTAAAGATAACGCGGTAAATGAAAATATTAGGCGACTTTTTGTCAAAACAATTCTTAATGTCAACCGTAATAAGAACATGGCCACTAGGCAGTAGCCATGGTATAATCTAACGGTCATCACTTTATATTCCTATATCTATACTTATCAGTAAGCAGGGGTTGGTGGATGAAAGCACCAAATTATAAATGGTGGACACCGCAACGATAGGCGATCGGGTAAGCGGGCAACATGTTCAGCCCTACAAATACTTGAGCCTCTGATCAGAATAAGACTTTTTCCAGTTCAATTTGAGCGACCGCTGTTTTAGTAGACAACATACTCACTTGCGTAGAGGACAATGGAAAGCACGAAAAAATGTTGGCATTACAATAGCTCTAGAAATTTGAATCTTCTCCGATTCGAGGCTTAGCCTCAGCAAGAGTTTGAATCTTCTGGGAATACAGGCTCTCAATGCTATTGTAATGACAACATTTTTTCGTGCTTTCTTTTTTTTTAGATAGATAGATAGATAGATGGATGTGGCCGACTTTCCAGATTTCTCAGACCAATGATCTGAATTGCATCTGGATTACATTGTGAGGGACTTGGACAGACTGCTATTGAAGGCGCTTTGAGCAGCCGTGCAGTTTACAAACATGAGGTACGTTGTACGTTAGATTTGTTAGTGCGTTAGTGTGTTAGTGCCCTCAAGGTTATGCGGCCGAAGTACAGACACTGAGGATGGTCGTACCTGCGTCCTCAGTGGTTTTTTAACGTCCACTTACAGGGTTAGAGTAGAGTAGACGGGACCTCCGATTTAACGTCGTTATCCGAGAGGACGTGAAGATCTTACCATTTGCAGATGGAGAAACAAAGGCAGCAACTTCTACTCAATTATTTTATTTTTTATTTTTCGTGCTTTCCTTTGTCCTCTACACAAGTGAGTATGTTGTCTGCTAAAACAATTATTTTAAGACCCTGAGTATTGGTCCGGCCAGGGTTTGAACCCACGACCTCCCGCATTGTAGTCCGATGCTCAACCAACTGAGCCAATCGGTATGCGGTTGAATTTCGTTAACGTCTATGCGCATGAGAGACTGTTGTCAACTAAAGCAGCGGAGAAGATTCAAATTTCTAGAGCTATTGTAATGTCAACATTTGTTCGTACTTTCTTTTGTTCTCTACGCAACTGAGTCTGTTTTCTACTAAAACAGCAGTCGCTCGCATTAAACTGGAAAAATGCGTATTACGTACACAGCACTGTTTATACTCACATTACAGCAAACGTCACCAGAACAACGCTAGTTAAAAATTACGTTGACACTAGTGAGTTGTCTATTAACATACCCATAAGCAATCTCCATTTCACATATCTTTAGATCTTGTAATTCTTTTTTCTCATACCTTTAAAATACAACATCAAACAAATGTGAATGACATATGATGAACGAGACCTGACTTGCAGATATAATTTGCCTTATTGTACGCGTAACGTTACATACCTAAAAGCAGAGTTGATTTCCTCATCAGCATCCCCACACAGATCTTGTAATTCTTTTTTCTCATCTCTTCAAAATGCAAATTTACATTTATCACACTATTTTCATATTCAACTCATGACTTATTTAATCACGACTTTCAAAAATAGCGCGATGTCACGGTCATCGACCAGGGACTGGAGACGAGGCACTAAAACGAGGTCTCAAGGGACAGCCTCCGTAAAGCAAACTTCAATGTTGTTTTGCAATAGTATTTTTTTATAGCGCGAGCCGAAGGTCCGCGCGAGCGGAGCACCATAGCTAAGAAAAAATGATACATCCATCGAGTCAATTTTCGATGGACCGACACACGGTTCCCGCGCGTACGCACGTTTCCTTCCTGGATTCCGTGTACCACCACAGGAAAGCCATGCTCCAAAAGCGCCAACATATTTGTTGAAACATTGACTTTTTTTCTCAAACACTTATCTTCCAAATTGATAATATTAGAAAAAGTAATCACAAGAAAAAATCCAGAGGAGAGCGAAATCAAAGCACAGAAATATTCCCGCCAATTTTGTCATAAGTACGACGCGTCCACACATCCGGGAAATCGATTTGCGAAGATGAAAAGCAATTTACTYTCGTCAAGCGTTTTGAGGCTCAGTTTTTATGAATAACAGGATGACTTTTCGCATTGACATTTCGACAACAAGAAAAAGATGATGCTATATTGAAAATAAATACTGCAAAAATATGAATAGCAACAATCTGTGTGAATTTTGTTTGCCAAGAAGTGTTGGGATTTCGCTGAAACAAAGACCATCAGCAGAACTCGATTGAGAGAGATTTAAAAACACAAAACAAACAAACAAAATTACAGCCTTATGACTAAATTGATGAAACCTTATTGCTTGAAACAAGTATGGTTCTGTTGAAGATATCCATTGTAGTACTATAGATAATCATTTTCAGCTTCTGTTTTGCTATTGCAGCTCCGCTATTAGGTATTACCTAATTTTTATATTTTTCAAACTTTGACACTGCCACACATGCGATCTATTCATTTACAATTTGTTTAATTAATCGAATTTTTTATATTGCGTAATGTAGATTTTGAATCGTATTATTATATTAATTGCTATTATTGTTGTTATATTCTATTTAGACTGATTATACGAAAAGAGTTCTATGACATCCCGGGGGGGGGGGGGGACTCCCTAACATCAAAGGGCGGGGTCCTCGGCGTCCCTTTTAGGGGTTTTTTTTTGGTATTTTGGTCCAGCTTAGGGTGATCATGACAAGAATTCCTACCAACTGTGTTTTGTGGTCCCTTTTAGGGTATACGGCGACCCTAAGCAGTCATAAAATGGCAACGTCGCCATAAACTCAATACGGGCCGACGGTGTTCGATGATTGTGTAAAAACACAAATAAAATCGGAAAAATAAAACAAAATGACCTGTTATTGATTGGTCCCTTTAGGGTTTAAATTTCAGCACTGCCACACCCATCATCTCACAATAGAGGTCCCTTTTAGGGGTCATTTTCACAATCTCCGCCGAGGACCCCCGCCCTTTGATATTAGGGAGTCCCCACCCGGGCATGACATTCATGATATTTGTCAGTGTTCATTTTACTTACCTAGGTTCAGTGAGCTTGTACTCAATGAATCCATGATATTGGAACCAATGTTTGCTTTAAAATACAACATTTAGGTTTTATTAGTAACGCTGTATTTATGGGAAATTATGATTCTAAGAAGTCTGTCAATACTGATAACGTGACGACCCCAAATGGCAAGTTCGGTCAACGGCATCAAAACCAATTTATTTACTCATAAAAGTCTAGAACTTTGCTCCTTTCTCATGCAGAACAATTAATCTCTAAGCATTCTGGAACATATTGTATTATTATTTTTCTCCTTGTTCGTTAGAAAATAATAGCGTTTTTTAGTATAATATAACTAGACGCTCTTAGAGTGTGAAGTCGGGCTAGCTATTTTGGAAAATTGAGAAAGACAGGATATTACATGGGTGTGCGTATAGGCGAACGAGTGAAAGACTTTAAACACAAGATTCTGATGTAATATTCTGTCTATCATATGATTATATATGAAAGTAAATTATGTCGTAGAATAATTTGTTTTGACTTGAATGCGTTACTTTCACTAGTTTTTTATTTATTAATTAGTACTGTTCAAAATTCTAATTGTTTATTCACACTCTATATTGTTTTCTGACGGCTTGCTGCAACGGCGTCAAAACGCTAGAAATATCGAGCCAGGAAAAATATCCTGTCTTTGTCAATTTTCCGAAATAGCTAGCTCGACTTCGCGATCTAAAAGCGCCTAGTTCGAACTTCCGGTTCCAATAAAAACTTCCGGTTGTCCAAAGGCGACATAATACATAGATAGTTTGACGAAAAGGTAATAACTAAAGTCGAGCAGCCTACGGCTAGCCCGACTAACTATAGTCCGGCCAGTCACTCTTACTATGTCATCACCTAAAACACTAGAACGACTTAAAATAGGAGTTAAAATGAGTGAAAAGGGGAAAGGGGTCAAACAACAAATATCCACTAGGACAAATATACTTCAGTAAAAAAAGAAAAAAAACAAGAAAATATTTTTTTGGTTAAATTAGTAGAAAGGCATAAATAAAATCTAAGCTAGAGACAATTTACCTATACTCGACGATATATTTTCACAATTAAATTTTGCAGAAAACTGGCCCGTATTATTTTTAAATAAAAAAACCCCTTTTTTTTAAAAAAAAAGCCTTTTTATATATACAAACAAACCTGGAGCAAGTTCTACACGTGATACTTCAACGAATTTCTTAAAACTTGGCCAAATCGTGTCTTATATTTAATTTAAATTAATTCAAAAAAAAATTTCTCACAATAAAACGTGTCTGAAAAAGTGACTTTTTGTGAAAACAGAGCAGATATTGTTCTTGGCATTTAAGTTTACATACCCTTGAATATGAATGTTCAAACGGAGCACATACTCAATGGACCCATCATCATGTTCATGTTTGCTATAAAATAAAACACCATCAATTAGATTAAACAAATTGATCACCAGGAAAAATTCTGTGATTCTGCAGAGAAAGGGAAAGTTGTTTCAAAGCCAATTACTAACACCGAAGAAGCCATTTTTCGTTTATTTTTTCCTTGATAACAATGCAAAGACACGTTTTGGACTGATTGGGAGACAATAATTCAGGTGATTACATTATTGTTTACATACCAAAGCCAAGCAACGTAAAAGACTTTTCCACTGCAGGCATACCAACTCGTATGTTTCTCGCACAACCTTTAAAACAAAACATGGAAACTTTTGATTATGAATGGCAGATTCTCTCGAT